TATAGTTAAAGATTATCGATGGATTCAGTTATTGTGTCTGCTGTAAAAATTTCTGTTCTCGGTTTCGTGATATTATCCGCCGAAGGTATATACGTTTTACTATTGTTTTAAATGCCTGTTTTCTACGCATAATTTAAATGAAACATTGGTAACTACAACATTTATGCATGTTTCGACTACATCATCATCATCATTATTATCATTATTATTATTATTTATTAAAAGGCAAAACATGCTCATTTTCCGAATTTAGTATGATTAACTTCAGTTTTATATATTGAATAAAGATAATCGCTTGTTAATTAACAGAAAGTCTTAAACAGTGACACACAATTGCTCCTGAATTAAAGTATATATAAACACAAACTAAAATGCTCCTTAAATAGTTTAAGCTTGATTAAAATAATATAATTCTAATTCAAAGAATCTGAACACGTTTAAAAGAAATGTTTCTTGTATTATATTTAAATAGCTTAACGGAACTTTGATGTTCCAGTACAAGTTTACAATTTTATTCTATAATTTATCTTAAGAATAGTCCATGAAATACTTCAACATTAAGAAGTAATTGTCGATCGCAAATGGTATCTAAACCAGCCTTGGTCTTCCGTGAGTTGAAACTGCTAGATTTCTATGCTGAATTGCTAATACATTTTATATAACTTGCGTTTACTTTTATACTTTGTACAGCGAACAGAAGGCCATACAGATTAGATTGCGCGGATATATAATTGAGCCGCGTCATGACAAAACCAACAAAGTGCGTTTGCGACCAGCATGGATCCAGACCAGCCTGCCCATCCGCGCAGTCTGATCAGGATCCATGCTGTTCGCTATCAGTTTCGGTACTTGTAATAGGGTTTATAAGCGAACAGCATGGATCCTGATCAGACTGCGCGGATGCGCAGGCTGGTCTGGATCCATGCTGGTCGCAAACGCATTATGTTGGTTTTGTCGTGACGCGGCTCAAATTTCTATTATATTTTATCTTAAAATATATAATGTCCCTGATTGAAAGTACGTTCAAGATTTAGCGAGATTTAGCACAGGTTTTCGATCTGCAAAAATATTATCTTAATATGCACGATGTAAGTTTGAAAACTGCTCAAATTTATCGCCTTGAATTTGCGTAATAACATATTGTATGAGAACTTGCCGTTTACATTTTGTTATACTTTGTACATGAGACAGAAAGCCCCCATACAGAATGCATTCCCAGGCAAACTCTCAAATCTCTCATTTTATAGGGATGATCGCAACGGGACATTTCTGAGATATAGGCATATGGAAGACATTAGAATTTCATTATGATTATATTCATTTGAGCCGTGCCATGACAAAACCAACATAATGGGTTTGCGACCAGCATGGATCCAGACCAGCCTGCGCATCCGCGCAGTCTGATCAGGATCCATGCTGTTCGCTATCAGTTTTTCTACTTGTTATAGAGTTGTAAGCGAACAAGCATTCAGGAACTCTCAATTTCATTTACGGGATGACGCACGGCTGTCTGAGATATAGGCAGTATGAAACATTAGATTCGTTTGTCATACCATTCATTTACTATTTTCAAAAATACATGTACAGCTATCACTTGTCTTGCTCAAATGAAGTTTTATCAAAATACTCTTGTAAACTGATAAATAAATTTTGACTTCAAAATAAATACGTGTGACCGACGTAAATGCTGAAAATAAACTAGCCTTTGATATAACATTTTGCAGAGGTAGTTTAATGTAATTAAAAGGTAATGATTTCACATCTAAATCTGTTCATTCAGATATATTACTATAATTCCTTCTATTATAACTAGACTTAAAATACTAAACATTTCAATTAATTGCTTTTGTAATGAAAATAAAGTTTCTTTTATAATATAAAAATAAGGTATATTTGCTAAAATAAACTTTCAGTCAGTCTGCTAGCGGCAACTGATTCCACCCTTAAGCCAGTGCAGACAGCACTGTTCGCTATTCAGTTACTATACATATTTTGAAACGTTTCCAAAAATAATACATGGTTTGTCCAGACTGAAAGACGGACACGTCTATTTAAGATATTTGGCGTGGTCAGGGTTACTGTTGTAAAAAAAGTTGCTGTTTTTTTCTTTTCATTTTACTTTAAGCATGTTAGCTTATATCTTTTTTAGCTTGGTTTTTCAAAAGACCGAAGGAAGTAAATTACGGAACCTTGGGTAATTTTTCAATAGATTACCCGTTCACTAACACGAAAGGTTTGTTTCCACGGTCACCTAACTACATCGATACCAAATTTCTCCTCTTTACTCGAAACTCGACCGAGGGATATGAAGAGCTTGTTATTACAGACAGACAGAAGAAATGTGCGTGGAAATCGTTCTGTAAACTGAAGCAAATAAAGGTCATAATACATGGGTATATGGACTTTGTAGACAGACCATGGGTGGGCGAGATGATCAAAGCGCTGTTGAAACATGTAAGTTAAAAAATAAAACATAGTTACTATAGTTACTATAAATTTGGAATTCTAAGTGTATGTGATAAGATCATAAAGGCACAGCTTGTAGATATTATATGCTTCCGAACTCATTTAAATCTAGCAGTATGGTCTCAACTTAACAAATATATGCCCATTACATGTAGAGTGGTATTTTGTGTACCGAATTTTATTTTAATACATTTTAAATATATGTGTGAAATTATTGAAATATGTATGTATAAAAACAAACAAGACTGAAA